ATGTTACAGAGGTGGCTGCAGTAGGGAATTTTCATGGGCTTGACCAGGGGGAATAGGATTACACTTCCACATCTAATAAATGAAATAGGATCTAGTCCTTGGTGGTTTTTTTCAAGGCTCCTGCTTCTGGACTCCTGTGATTATGTGGGAATATCAGCCTTTGCTTAAAAAAAAGTTTGTAGCTTTTGTGTTTGCAGGGAAAAGCTTGAAAACATGAAACCCCAGGGCATATAACTCTAAAGTGCCACATGTGCGTGCACATGCACACACACACACACACACATTACTGTTAATGATCTCATGATTTACACCATTCTCATGATTTTCAGGGACCTGGCTTCTGGTTTTTACATCCTGGGTTTGACAATACCAATGATCTTAAATCACACAGCAAAGCAAATGCTATAACAAGCAAATCCTTTGCACTGCATCTCTCTTGGGGTCAGTTCTGACTACTAGTATCACTTCTGTTCAGGGTTTCCATCAAAACCTAAACTGTTTTTCAGCTTCTCAAAGGAATTTTGTACTAATTGAATGCTCCTCTTAAAAAATCTGCTATTTTTCCCTGCAAACATACTTCCTTAATAAATTAATCCAGTTCCAGGGGAACCCACTGTAGCCCGGCAAGGAAGAGCAGAACAAGTCATCCTGATTCTCCCCCTTGCTGGAGAGGCTGGTCAGTAATGGTCATTATTTCACACTGGAAAGGAGGAAGGATCACAGAAATAAAGCAACAGCTTTCTAAGGAAGCAGAAGCTGATTGTGTGGTGGAACAATGTTTGCATCTGTTATCCACCAGTTTATGGGCTGAATTTTCAAAGTGACTCATGCTCCAAAATTTGGGAGTGAAACGTGAGTGCCAGAGTTTAGTCTCCCTCTTAAGGATAGGGGCTGACAGCAGCTGTTCAGCAGGACACAAAGCTTTGCACACGTACATCTGTGCTTCACAAAGATCTGCTGAGCATGAGTAAAGCTGCCATCTCTCCCAGGGGGTACAAATGGGATTATGATGCGTGCCAGAGCCAATCTGACTGAATGACCCAAAAGAGCTGAAACCAACCACGAAGAAAGCCAGAATTTGGCTAAAAGCCACACTTTCCCTTGCTGCACAATTCAGCAGCCTCTTTTAGGAGCACAATCTCACATCCTTAGAAATGCCTCTATACTTAGCTTGCAATGAAACCAGAGGGAATTAGATGCCTAAACACCTTTGAAAATCTAGGCCTGAATGATGAGAACCATAGTGAGCTGACCACTGCTAAAATGAGTTCACTATTCCTGTTTTGATGGTGGCCAGAACTGGATGTTTCATGGGAAGGTGTCAGCAACCCCTAATGAACAACTCTGGAGTAACTGGAATGACCTGGCATGAAGCAGGAGGGTTTCATATACGCTTGTGTGATAAAAGGTATCTATGGATGTTGGCATTATCTACGTTGCATAATCCACACACCCACAGATAGACATATCCCGTGTGAATTTGTCCAATTTTCCTTTGAACCTGCTTAAATCATCAGCCTCTGCCACATCTTGAGGCAGTGAGTGCTACAAGTTAATTTCTTGATTTCTTGTGGCAGCAAGTCCCACCTGCTAATTACAGGTTTAAGGAATGAATCTCTATTTGTAATGTGTTGCCTTTCATTCTCATCAAATGTCCCCTCGTTCTTGTGTCATGAAAAAGGGAAGATGGGGCACCCTGTTTGCTGCCTTTGCTGCAATCACAGTACTAACAAGCACTTGGTACTTTGTATAACATTATCAAGCCCCCATTTATTTGTTTTTCATCTAAGATAGGCTTGGTCTCTACTGAAACATTTCTCCAAGAGCTCTGTAGGGGCTCTTTTGTTATATCCCTAACTGACACAGCTGTGCTGGAGGGAAAAAAATGGAAATGTAGTTACACTGGAATGTTTTTCTTCCCAGAAAAGCTTGTTCTGTTCCAGGATCTGGTTTAAGCAAAAGAGCTCTTTTCTTAGTATATGTTCCAGGGGGTTGTTTGCCAGCATACCTGCAAACCCTACAGTAGACTACCTCTATACTAACAAATCCAGAGACTGAGAAATAGGCGAGAATCCTTGGGATGGATTTAAGCACAAGGTGCAGAGAGAAAGGCGAGTGACTTAATTTGGAAAGAGGGTCTGATTTTAATCCAAGTTGGAGATTCAGGCTATGGTTCTGGCTGGTTCTTTCTCTGGACTTGCTTCCAACTGACCTGAGAAATACTGAAATTAGAATTACATTTCTCTTCCATTAGGCAATGTTTTGTTCAATGTGTTTTTGGATCATCGCATATTTGCCTGGATACCGCTATGCCTGCGGTTAAATTTCCCCGGACATCATCCATGACTGGGCAACTTAGGTGTTACGCTAATTGATATCATCACCACCATCATCATCCTCCTGTCTTGGCTAATCCCCATCATTTACCCTTTCCTCTCAGCTCATTTCTTCCAAAAATGATCACATAGCTCATGAATTTCAATAGCAGCTAATGTCAGGCCCTGCCTACCCCTGCGCTGTTTTTAACACGGCTCCTAACAGCCCTTCCTGTACTGGCTAAACGCTAGCCTGCTAGATTGCAAGCTCTAACTAGCCAAATACTAGATTGCAAGCTCTAACTAACAGCACAGCCCATCTTTCTGTTTTGTCCTGTGTTTGTGCAGTACCTGGCTCAGAACTGGAACACTCCTCTATACCGCAGTGCACGCAAATAATTATAGCGATCACAGGTCGATGCCGTTCTAGCCAGGAAAGTGCTCTGTCCTCAGTAGTGATGTGAGGATGCACTTCCTCCAGCCAAGCAGAATCTGGCTTCACCTTCAGTCCCACTATTATCAATGGAGAGGTGTCAGATACCACTTGCCATGAGCAAGGCGGTCAAAATCCAGAGGGCTGAGGCGCCCAGCGGAGGTAGGGCAGAGGAGTCGGGTGGAGAGGGGTGTTAGAGCCCCTTTCCACTCCAAAGGGAACTAGGGCTCCTGAGGAGAAGGAATGGCTTTTTCCACCCCCCTGCTGGGATAACAGGGGCCAAAGGGGTGGAATATGCAGTGGGGGCTGCTTCAGGGAGGGAAGGAGGGAGTTAATCTTTGACCTGAGGTGAGCAAATTGCTGCCTCTTGTCCCCCTTTGTATTGTGTGGGGAAGGGCAGAGGAAATAGCTGCATTCCAGACATTGCCATGTCAATGTAAACACCACGAAGGGGGGGTGGGGGACTCAGGCAGACAAAGAGCTTTGCCTTCCCCCTCCAGCCTTGTGCATGCAGCATTATTCCTCTCAAGTTATTATTCTCTATATGACAGTAAGGCCCAGAGGTCAAGACCAGGGCCTGTTGCCCCCGGCCTGTGCAAACACATGGTAAGAACCAGCTCTTGCTGCCAGCTCTGTGGAGCAGACAGGGCGGGAGACAGAAAAGAGAGGGGCAGTGGCATGCCCAAGGTCGCACAGCACCTCTGTAGCAGAGCTGGGAACAGAGCACAGGTATCCCAAACCCCAGGCCAGCACCTGAGGAAGCCATGGACCATGCCACCTCATGTTGCCGCAGCACTGCAACTCTGATGTGCACAGATGAGAGTAGGCAACTTCAGGCATTTTAAGCACTGAGTCTGGCTCTGCGTCAGCTTAGGTGACCCCAGGACTAAAACCCCAGGATCTGTCACAAGACCTGTCTACACTAGTGCTCCTACCATTGAAATCAATGGTGGAAATTTTAAGGGAATGAAGTCAAGCAGAGACCTCTCTGAACTGCAGACCTGGCAAAGCCATAACCTCTTCCCTATTCCCTACCAGTTTTTACGTGAAAGGAGGAGCAGCCTCTCCTCAGGCATGATAGACACCATGTTTCCTCTCTTTGGAGTCAACACTGTATGTGCCTCGCATCAGGGTCCAGTGCCCACTGTGCCACTGGGTCCATCAGGGGTCTGCCTTGGAAACCCATTGACCCAGGAGAGCTCTGCAGAGTGGCAGAGAGGATGGTCCATTCACACTTCACAGAGATATCCCAAAGCAGGAAT